CGATATGCTGACTCTGTAAACCGCTTAGAGAGGGCTGAAAGCCCTATGAAGCGGTATATAAGTCTAACTGCTATTGCTAACTGCTATTGCTATTGTTGTCCAGTCTCTTCTTAAAAACCTCCAGTGATGGAGCATTCAGAACTCTTGAAGGCAAGTTGTTCCACTGATTAATTGTTCTAACTGTCAGGAAATTTCTCCTTAGTTCTAAGTTGCTTCTCTCCTTGATTAGTTTCCATCCGTTGCTTCTTGTCCTGCCCTCAGGTGCTTTGGAGAATAGTTTGACCCCCTCTTCTTTGTGGCAGCCCCTGGAAGGCTGCTGTCATGTCACCCTGAGTCCTTCTTGTCATTAAACTAGACATACCCAGTTCCTGCAACTGTTCTATGTTTTATCCTCCAGTCCCATAATCATCTTTGTTGCTCTTCTCTGCACTCTTTCGAGAGCCTCCATATCTTTTTCACACCGTGGCAACCAAAACTGGATGTTGTATTCCAAATGGGGTCTTATTAAAGGTAAAGAATCCCCTCGCACATATGTGCTAGTCGTTCACGACTCTAGGGGGCGCTGCTCATCTCCGTTTCAAAGCCGAAGAGCCAGCGCTGTCCGAAGATGTCTCCGTGGTCATGTGGCCAGCATGGCTCAACGCTGAAGGTGCTGTTCCCTTCCTACCAAAGGTGGTTCCTATTTTTTCTACTTGCATTTTTTACCTGCTTTCGAACTCCTAGGTTGGCGGAAGCTGGGAACAAGTCACGGGAGCTCACTCCGTCACGCGGCGCTAGGGATTCGAACCGCCGAACTGCCGATCTTTGTTATCGACAAGCTCAGCGTCTTAGCCGCTGAGCCACCGCGCCCCTGTGGTCTTATTACCAAGGCCTGATAAAGGGGCATTAATCCTTCACGCGATCTTGATTCTGTCCCTCTGTTAATGCAGCCTAGGACTGTGTTGGCTTTTTTGGCAGCTGCTGCACACAGCTGGCTCATCTTTACGTGATTGTCCACTAGGACTTAACAACCTCCGTTCTTGGAATTGAGCCCTGCAATTCTGTGAAAAGGATACTGAAGATAATCCCCCCAAAACAGGCTGAAAAAGCCATTCGGGGGTAACCTTGCCGGGCCATGGTGAGGTCGGAGAACATGTCTGTTGGGAGAAAGAGAAGAGGTTTAGGTTAGGTTTAGGTTTCGTTTTATTTGTATGCCGCCCTATTCCCAGCGGGACTCAGGGCGGCACACAAACCCAAGGGGGGGAAAGGGGAACACAAAAAAACTACAAATACAAGCATATAAAAACAACCAACAGCCACACAGATCGAGGGGGGGAGGAAACTCATCAACCCCAGGTCTGCCGACCTCACCATGGCCCGGCAAGGTTACCCCCGAATGGCTTTTTCAGCCTGTTTTGGGGGGATTATCTTCAGTATCCTTTTCACAGAATTGC